GCTTGCACAGGACAGATCTAGAGATTCCTCTGTGCCTAAGCAGGGCCTGTCCCTCAGGGTTGACTGCCCGCTCTGAGCAGACCCACCGTCTCCCAGGTTGTGGCTTTGGAGGTCCTGGTGAGATAACAGCACCTGTCCTCATTCATTTGGTAAATTCCCACATGAGGTTATTTCAGGACAGGAGCTGAAAGGGGAGAAGGGAAGGGAAGGGGCATGGGGGCGTAGGAATAGATGTTGTGCAGTGTTCTGCAGAAGAAGAAATGAAAATGCAGCAAAATTCAGGAGAGCTTTGGGGGCTTTATGCTGGAATAAGTTGGGAAGGTGCCACAATCGGCCTGTGAGGTAGGAGTCCGTGTTACTGGTACTACTGAGGTGAGCTCTGCATTGGCAGTTACAGCCCCACCGGGGGATTGTGGGTGGGGCTTGAGCCCCATGGGACCTCCGTCATCCCCACCCACCAATGCAGTGATGCAGGCAACTGACATCCTTCACGCCTGCAGTTTCAAGGCCTCTTCCCGCCCCATGCGCACAGATAGGAGGCATTCAATAAATAATTGCTGAATGAATGAAGAAGTGAGTGAGAATCCTTCAAAGTCACGGGGAATGTCGTGTACTTTTAGACAGAAAATAGCCCAAGTTACAACTCCTTGTAGTGCCAGTCCTGGTGCTACCACAATGATGACAGAAACCACGGAGAGCGTAGCTGGGCCCCACCATCTGAGGGCACTGAAAAAGTGAGTTGGGGTAGATTTAAAAGTGAGAAATTGAAATGGAAAGTTGGCAACCCCTGTAAATATTGTGGTATCTCTAAGCATTAAAGAATGAAGAAAGCTGATAGCATTTGCTTACCACATCTCTTTAATTCAGTCTTTTGTTTGGTCAGTCGGTCAATCAGTCAGTCAACAACCACTTGATGAGAACCTTACCAGGCCAGGCCATTGCTAAGGCTCTGGGGACATAGAAATGAACAAGGCAGGATTCCTGGCCTCAAGGAGACAAATAAGGTGACAGATACAGTATGGTGGATGCTAGGATGGGAATGACAATGAAGTTGGGGTCCAGGGGAGAGGCCTAAACCAGTCTGCTATGGACTAAATTGTTCCCACCCCCAGTTTATTTGTTGAAGCCTTGACCCCCAGTGTGATGGTATTTGAAACTAGTACCTTTGGGAGGTAACTGGGTTTGGACAAGATCATGGGGTTGGAGCCCCCATGATGTGTTGGGGCACTATAAGGGAAAGAAAGGATTAGAGCTCTCTCTCTCTCTCTCTCTCTCTCTCTCTCTTCCCCCCCCCCACCATGTGAGGACACAGCAAGGGAGCTGCCATGTAAACCAGGAAGTGGGTCTCACCAAAAACCCCACCATGATCTCAGACTTCCAGCCTCCAGGACTGTAAGAAATAAATTCGCTGTTGCAGCCACCCAGTCTGTGGCATTCTGTTCTAGCAGCCCGAGCTCACTAAGACACAGTCAGAGATGCCACACTCTGGTAGTGAGTGTCCTGGTAGTGGAAGTATGCAAGCCAAGGTTAGATGTGTGTCTATCAGTAATACAACTCTTGAAGAATGAATGGAAGTCCACCAGGCAGAGGAGAGGGAAAGCATCCTAAATGCAGTCAAAGGTGGAGGTGAGGTGGATTTCCGTGTGTTCGGAGAAAGGAGAGGAGCGTGGCTGGAGCACAGGATGCGTCAACAGGGCAGGGAGTAAGGTGATTGATGATCGATGCTCACTGACACTCGTACCAGCGGGTCTCACACAATATCCTGGGCTCCCTCTGCGTTTTGAATGTTGTCAGTGTATAGACAGTACATAGCCTAAAACTCAGCTCATATCGGCACATTTTGTAGTCAGTTTCCGCTCCCCCGAGAAGGAACGCATAGGAGACCTTGGAAGGTGCCAGTTTTCACTTGCCCATATATTATTCAACCAGCAAAGGGAGCTCATGGGGAAGTTATAGTTCGTCAATTAGAACGGTTCCCAGAAACCAGAAATGGAATTCTGCCATCTGCCGTGCCTGCTGTGCATGTAGCCAGCAGGGCTGTCCCCTGGGCGCTGAAGGGGACAGAGTGGGGCAGAGGGGAACCCCTGCCCCGGGGGAGGAGGGGCTGGAGGCAAACTGCAGCTTCCCCAGGGTCCTCTGTGTGACCTTGGACAGGTCACTGGTCCTTGGAAGTTGAGGTTATCCTTCCGTAAAATGTAGGTATCACACGCTCTTGACAAGGTTTCTTCAAGGGTTAACGTGGACCAGTTACACAGCCCTAAGTAACAGCGGCTGCAACTAGACAGGGCTGCATTTCTGTCCCTCTTTATCCATCTCCCAGCTTTGGCCCCGGCCCCTGTGATCCAGTCACAGCGGCCAAAGTGACATTGAAAAGTGAGTCGGGTCCTGTCACGCCTTCTCAAACCCTCTCACTTGGAATGAAAGCCACCATCCTCACCATGGCCCCGAGGCCTTGTGCAGCCCCCCGCCTCTCCCAGCTCACCCCAAGCTCCTCGCTGGTCCCTTCAGCCCCTTGTGCTGGCCGCTGCTCGGCCAGCTGCATCCCCCAGCAGTCCGGCGGCTTGCGGCCTCTCTTCCTGTCATTGTTCACAGGTCATGTTCTCAGTCTCAGTTCTAACCACCCTGGTTCATGCTTACAGCTACCTACACGGTACTCATTGATATCAGCTCCACTCTCCCGAGGCTTACTGAGTGAACTAACCTGTCCAACCACATAGCAAGTGGCCGTACCAATCCGGACACCAGCAAGTGTGTGGCAAGGAACAAAGCCCAACTCAGATGGCCTTAAGCAATAAAGGGTGTTTTTCGGCCGGTGCAGCTGGAGTTCAGTGGCAGGCGACCTCAGGCAGGGCCTGATCAGGCTCTGGGCGCGCCGTTTCTCTGCTGTCCTTGCAGCTCTAGCTTCTCTGGGTGGGCTCCGTCTTCAGGCTGCCTTTCTGTGGGGTGGCGCATGGCTCCTACAGTTCTGGGAGAGTCATATCCCCACATCACCCTGGCCAAAGACAAGAGAGTATCACTGTAAGTGGCTCCTGAAAAAACAGAGAAAGCTTCCTTTCATGAACCTCTTGGATAATCATCTCCCCAGTTCTCAGTGGCTCCGGTCAGGCCATACAGCTCGTCACGACAAAGCCGAGACCCAAACCGAGGCCCCCTGGCTCAGGGTCTGTGCGCCCAAACCCCTGCACAGCCCTGCCTCTCGGCAGACAGGACCATGGATGGCTGAGCAGGAGGGACTCTCGTCCCAGCCCCAGAGGCTGGAGCTCGCTGGAGATGTGCGGGGGAAGCTACCTGAGTGGGGACACGGTGGGTCTGGATGGGAAGGGCTCCCAGCAGAGGTCTGGCCGGGTGACTTAAGCTTCATCCACAAGCCTGTGGAGGGACTGCCTGCCGGTCATCACTTAGCACCCAGCGCTGCATCCCACCCAGGACCCTGGACAGACTGCCCAGCAGCGCGGCTCGCTCACACAGTAGCGCTGGCAGCCGAGCCGGGCGTTGGGATGTGCACGTGGAATGGCTGGTGCGTTTTCTGTCCACCATGGCTGGTCACATCGGACACGCGTCCCGTGGGCCACTCAACAGTCCTCTTAGCACCTGCTCCAGCAGGTGTCTGCTCGTGTCTCGGAGGTGCCCTCCCCGTCCCCCCAAAGCCAACTTTGCATGTGCCGCCCACCTATGTATTGATGTATTTACCACCATCCCAAACACAAGTCTCAGAGCGGGTGAAAATCCAACCGGCCATTTGCACAGGATGTGATGACAAATAGAAAGAAATGTGATTGCGTTTATGCCTGGTGTTCAGGGGTCTCCGAGCTGGTGTTTCTTCTGTTCCAAATTCCCCAGAGACACGGCGCTGACCATGCGGGGTTTTCCTCCCTGTCCTCCGCCCCCCTTTCTCTTCTTCTCCTTTCCGCTTCTGCCCCCACATCGCCGTGCCTCCTTCCCACTTCTCTGTCCCTCTTCCTGCCCTCTCAGGCGTCCTGGACACCTGTTTGTAGGTGCACGTAGCCTCTCCATGTCCCATCTGCTGTCAGTACTCTAGGCTGGTTGGAAGGGGGTCCCAGCCCCTCCCCACTAACTTCATCAGGGACAGCCCTGAGCCCCCACTGACCACAGCAGACGGGCAGCAGAACGGAAGTGTCCTCTGGGCACGAGGGTCCCCTGCACGCCCCGCCCCCAGCTACGGCCACTCACAGGTTTCCTGAGAAAGGGAGTCAGGGTGGACCGGTCTCTTTTATTTACCAGGAGCTTTCACTCTCTGGGTCAGTGCCTGCAAACTTTTAATCCACAAAAATGTTCATCATGCCTTCAACATAAATAGATTTGTTTATTTATAGGTAATATGCGTGTACAACTAAAAAGCCACACTATAAATATTGTCCATAAAATAGATACATTTTCATCATAAATAGGAACATTTAACATCTAGTCGCGTAGCAAATTTGAATTACACACACAGTGTTATCAGCTGTAGTCGCCAGGTTTTATATGAGGTGCTCAGACCTTATTCATCTACAGTTGAAAGGCTGTACCCTTTGACCAGCCCCTCCCCGTCTCGCCACCCCCAGCCCCCGGCAACCTCTTTCTATGAGTTTGACTTTCATTTAGATTCCACATGCACGCGTAAGTGATATCATGTAGTATTTGTCTTTCTCTGTCTGGTTTATTTCACTTAGCGTAATGCCCTCAGGGTCTACCCATGTCACAAACGGCAGGATGTCTTGCTTTCTTGTGGCTGAATAATACTCCACTATATGTATGTCGTCTTTATCCGTTCATCTGCTGACGAACACTAAGGTTGTTTCCATATCTTGCCTGCTGTGAATAATGCTGCAAAAAAAACCAACAAAACATTTCCAGTTTCAGATAAAATAGTAATGTAAATAGAGGTCTAATAGTTTCTTCCTGCTCTGCCCCTGGCAGGCCACACCTGTGAGTCCCACGAAGCCTAACCCAGCTGCCTGCAGCTCTTGTTAACAGGGTCTCTGCTCCTCTATCCGCAGGACATGTCCACATCACAGACTTCAACATCGCGACTGTCGTGAAAGGCGCAGAAAAGGCCTCCTCCATGGCGGGGACCAAGCCCTACATGGGTGAGTGTTCCAGGCCCCCTGGGGTGTGACGGGTGCCTGAGGCCTTAGCATCTCTCTCCTGCTTCACGCCCACCTGCCCACCCCCACACCAGGCCCAACCATTCCCAGTATGTGCTGTGCTCTCTCACACCACTGGCCTTCACCCAAGCCTCTCCCCTGCCAGAAAGGCCTCCGCTCCTGTGTCTTCTAGAGAATTCCTGCCCAGCCAGAAAGTGAGGCCCAGGCTTAGGGGAAAACCAACCAACCAACCCTTCTTTTTTTTTTCTTTTCATTAAAGCCCAGTAGTGTTGCCAGAATATAACTTTGGTGTTGTCGTTTGGGTCTTTATGCTTAGGGACACGGTGCCCTTCCAGTGTGTAATTTGGGGTTGGTTTTTCTTTATGACTTTTGATGGAAGTATTGTTTTTTAGTAAGCATTCTGTTCCCTTTCTTTAGTTTTCTTTAAGGATGCCTATTATCTGAATGTTGGGTCTCTTTTGCCAAGCTTCAGTATTTGCCATTTTCAAATCTTTCTTATCTCTTCCTTCATTTGTTTAAATTTGTTCTCATTTCTCTTGTCTTTTAAAGCATTAGCTGTTGTGTTTCTTTGCTCTGTGTGCTTTCTACTGAAATATTTATTTCTGAAATAATTTTCCCTTTATTTCTCTTTTTTTTTCCGAGTTCTCTTGCCTGATTTCTGAGTTTTTAAATTCTAATTTATGTTGTTCTTTTATGTCTCATATAATTTTATTGATGTCTATATTAGTTATTAATTCTTAATGTCTGTGTTAGTTGCTGACTGCTGTGTAACACACCATGTCAAAACTTAGTAGCTTAGAACAATGACAGTGTGTTATTTCTCACAATTCCGCCATTTGACTTGGTGGTTCTGGGTGGCTGGGCTCACTCATTCAGCCAGTGGGTCAGCGGGGGCTGGACTCAGCGAGGACAGCTGAGACGGACGGGCCTCTCTCTCTATGTAGTCTGTCATCATCAAGGGGACTTGAGCAAATTTGCTCACCTGGTGGCAGCTGTTGAAAGAAGGAGAACCCAATTCTCACATGCTTAATAAAGCCTCTGCTTGCTTCACATTCCTGCTGCCCAATTGGCCAGAGCAAGTCACATGACCAAGACAATGTGGGCGGGGACTGCACTGTGCCTGGATACCAGATGGCCTGATTGGTCAGGGAGCCGTTGATGAAACAGTGCACCACACTGTCATTTAACTCTTTTGAAATAGAAGGTTATAGTTTTGAGCTTTTGTTTCTTGGTACCTCTTTCTGATGTGCTTTCATTGTAAAGTGTTATTCTGCCCTTCATTCTCCTTTCTCTTTTAATAAGTCTGCATGGGTTTTGACTTTGGTATGTTTCTGTTGCTCCTTCTCATGTGAAATTCGTTTTCCTGAACTTCTGGAAGATGATGTGGTTTAGGGTAGCTTTTCTAACTCATCGGTCATTACCTCTTCTGTGGTTTTTGTGGAGTCACAATCCAAGGCCGCGTGCTCGCTGGGATTTCCCGGGTCGGTCCACTGGCCCGTTTTTATCTGGACCTTTTCCTTCGTCTGCTCAGTTTTGACTCCACTCCCAACAGCTTCTTCTTGGGCTGTGTTCTATAAGGGAGCTCTGGCTGGATTGATTAGAGAGATTTTGTGTCCCAGGCTTTCCTAGCTCCTGCAGAGCGTGCTAGGGGCTCTTTTCGCTCCGCTGATATTGGACTGGACAAGCTCCTCCCGGTTTCAGCTGCTGCTCTCAGATTGGCCAGCTGTGCTTCCGGTTGCTGGGAATTTGGAGAGCCTGAGGGCTATTTTGGAGTTCTCTGTACTCTGGCCCATCATACGCTGCCTCGTTTCTTCCCCGTGTTTCGACCTGTACAGAAATCACCACCACGGAGGTCTTGTCTCTGTTGCTGGTTTGTTCCTGCCCACTTATATTTTGGGGTTTGTGGGGACAACTTAGTTTTATAGTAAATGTTGCCCATGGTTCTTGGTTTAACTGTTTTATCTGCTCTGTCAGTTTTTGTATGTGGATTTGTGGAGATTCAAGAACTATGTCACCACCTCCCCTAAACCCATAACTTGGGCCATTCATTTTTAACTTAGTAAGTGCATGAAATCCATGAAGTTTGGCAATAAATAATGGCAAAAATAGTGCTTTTTGGTATTTACTGTGTACCAGGCATTGAGTTGAGTGCTTGCCAGCCGTACCCTTATTTAATCCTCACAAGCATGATGTAGGCGGTTCTGTGTTCCCATTTAGAGTGGAGGGCACAGGCTGACCGAGGCCGGGTGACTTGCACAGGTTGCCATCAGTGTGAGAGGCAGACTGGGTCAGTGTGGATACCGGCAGGTATGCCCGTGAGGGGGCGCCCGCATGTCCGACAGGCCCCTTGGGACTCCACGTGGGCTTTTGCTGGGCAGGGAATGAGAATGGAGGAGCTGTCGAGGCTGCCTCCCGGGCTCTGGGTCGTGCAGCAGTCTGGCTTACCGTGGTGCCCTCTGGGTAGGGAACATAGCAGAAGCAGCCGGCGCATGGGGTGGTGGGAGTGACACGTTTGAATCTGAGGTGTCTGTGGGAACTGCAAAATAGCAGGTGCTCTCCGGGCCTGTGGAGAGTGAGATGGACAGGACCTGGGAATTGGGGCATTCCCAGGATGGAGATGCAGCTGAGCCAAGGCAGTGACCGAACCCCCCAGGGAGGACGCAGGAGGCAGAGCATCGGTCCTGAGTCCCAGGGGACGCCCTGCCCGAGGGGTAGGGAGAGGCCAAGGGAGCCATCACGTCCAGCGAGGGCTGAGAAGAGAGCGGTGACGTAAAGAGAAGGATCTCCCGTTGGCCTCCATCATCCTATAAGTTAGTTCTGACTTGCTTTGGACTCTCCCCATAAAGCACGTTGATCTCCAGGAATGTAAATCCTGGACTGCAAGAGAAGTTCAAGATGATGGCGTGCCCACCCTGGCCTTTCTGCCTGCCTGGCCACCGTGCACAGCAGACTTCTCCGGCACCGCTTCAGACACTCCGCTCGGGCCTGCCTTGGCCTCATTCCTGGCCTCCCACTGATGTCTGAGGCAGCCGTGTCCTCTGGGAAAGCAGACCAGTGTGAGCTGACTGGCCACTCCACTGTGGCCCCACCTTCAAAAGGGACCCTACTGCATGTCAATCGTTACATTGATCAGGAGATCCCTGTGAGGTTTCTACATCACCCCATTTTACAGGTCAGGAACCTGAAGCCCAGAGAGGTTCATCAGCCCGCCCAGCGTCACACAGCTGGCAAGTGAAGGAGCCAGAATTTGAAGCCACATCTATTTGAATCTGAAGTCCATGCTTTTGCCGCTGTACCAAGCTGCCTCTTTGACACTGAGTTCCTATATTGTAAAGCCATATTTCTCAACCAAGAGAAAAGTTTACTGTCCCAGCTGTACGTAGGATTCCGGGCTTCTGGTGTCCTTCTAATTAGGGGAGCCTCTCTCCTGAATCACTGAACAAACGTACAGAAGCGATTTTTATGGGATTTAGAGGGCACAGCTGATTTACTGAATGGATGTATTTTCAGACACGACAGGTTGGCAGCACCAGGCAGTAGAAGTTTCATGGGGAAGAGGTGGAGACAGGGCGGGCTCCTTCGATAACGTCAAACCTTACATTTCCCAGGGCTATAAATTCCTGATGTCAGCTGGCAGCTTTGTTAATTTCACTCACTTGAGCTTAAGGGCCCAGTAAAAGTTTCCAGAATGTTCTAAACACAGACTCAGGGAACAGGCTGATGAGTCAGCTCCCAAAGGTTGCTCATGAAGGATGATCCTGGAAGAAACATTTGCATAGAACTGAATTTTCATTAATTAAAAGAGCAGATGGAATTTGCAATCGGAGAGAAAAAAAAATCTCTCTGAAATGTGGGAGATGAGGGGTCAGAAGTGTCCCAGCAGCCTCCCAGGCCTTCGGAGTTTACTCCTCGAAGGTGAAATGAAGGGCTGAGCGTTTGTTCAGCAAACATTTACGGCATGTTTAGGAGGCACAGGGCTGAATCAGGCCCTGGGGCTCAGAGGTGAGCAATGTTCTCCAGGCCTCAGGGGCTCCCTGTCTACGGGGGCAGATAGATGTGTGGGTCTAGATGTAAACAGGTCATGGTCAAGACAGATTCCCAGAGAAGGTGACAATCGGAGACTGAGGATGCGCTCAGTGTGTGGCTGTGGGGCATGGATAAGAAGAGGTCGGTTCAGGTGGAGGGAACAGCCAATGCAAAGGCGCAGAGGAGAGAAACAGTATGGTGTGCTGGGAGAAGCTAGCAGTTCCATTTTTTGGCAGCTTATAGAACAAGAGGCAGTGTGAGGGAGAGGTGAGACAGGCCAAAGCACGGGGACCTTGAACACCGTGGTAAGGGCCTAGGCAGCCAGCAGAAAGTGCAGTGCTGGGGACGATCATGATCAAGCTCATGGGTGCCTTAGAGATGCCAGTGGGTCATTAGACTTGCCAGGCATGGGTCCCAGTGACGTGCGGGCTTCAGCATGGGGCAGTTCGGGTGTCTTCCACTTAGTGGCCGGGTGAACTTGGGCAAATCTCATTGCCTGACCTGATGCGCATGAAGTGCTCAGCACGGTGAACACTCAGCAAGGGTTGAGCTTGAGCCATGTGACTTGAGTTTCCTCAGTCTGGCTCAGTGGGTCACGTGTGAGGATGTGATGACATGTCTGTGGAGGTACATGACGTTATGCCTGACAAAGGGTGGACGCACAGACTGGCAGCTGATATTATTGTTGCTGCCGTTGTTGTTATGCTCGGCACAGGGAACCCAGAGCCAAATCTGACATTCCTTTGCCTTTTGGGGCTCACAGTCCCTAAACACATCTTAATTCATATAGGAGTTGGGTCACCTGGGGGCAGTGGGTCCCTTGGGGGGTAATGGGGCTCATGCCTCATTGATACTCATCAAATGTTAGTTCCCTTTTCCCAAAGAGCTGCAATGAGCAAAAAAGGGTGTTTGTGGAGCCATCGTGGCGATGCTGTTACTCTCCTTGTTGAAATGATTGAGGCTAGTGCAGTTTGCTGCCCCGTCCCAGAGACAGTAACAGAGTCAGCGTTCCGACCCAGGCCAGTGAGGCTCCAGAGCCCAGTATCCTTCCTGAGAACCT